AACACTTAGAATTATTTCCAATACTTTTGTCCGGATAACAAATCCGGACAACACTATGTCCCTCTTTTTGACCGATTTAAAATAATCCAATCACCACTTAGTCGTATTTCTACTTCTCCGTTCAAAATGTTAAAACATAATTTCTATATTCATAACTCGCTCAATACTTGACCGGTTTAAAACCAAACCGCTTATCACTTGTCCGGTTTAGGGCTTAAATCGCCCAACCCTTGTCCGGTTTAAGGCTTAAACCGCTCAACACTTATCCGGTTTAAGACTAATCCGGACAACACTTCTACGATTTATACTTCCCACCATACGAAAAGATTTATACAACTAGTTATGCATTCCAAAGAAAAGTTAAGCATTTAAAACTACTCACCTTATGCAACTTCCTTTGAAAATCAGACTTAAGAAAAACTCAAATTGGAAATCCAGTCAACCTTCTTCTCTTTAAATCGTTCAATTTTTCTCAAAATGGCAAGAAGAAAATGATGGAGGCTTCACCCCTTTTTATACTTTCATTTTCTAGAAAGTCGGCTGAGCACAGCCTTTACTTCCTCCCCACTTGCATGCACACACACATACACACATCATGTATGTAGATTTATGTACATATTTAATTATATAATTCATTATATATATACCAACTTCATGCACACATGTACATATATGCATGCATATCACACACATATATATATAACCTACATACATGTGTATCCACATACACATATCTCATTCATGCATCTATATTATGCACATTTTCACATACTAGCATGATCAAATGTATCAATTTATCATGTTATCACGTAATCACATATAACAAATAATCATATATTAATTACCTCATGTGACAACCAAAATCTGGTTATCACACATAACCTCAACGCTATGAACAACGGGTGCAGACACTTACACAAATATAAATATTTGGTATCAAGCTTAAAAAATAACACTTGTGTTCCTATGATAGAAGTAACATGAATACAATGATTCATGATTCATAAAAGTCGGTAATATGACAATATGAAAATGGGTCGTGCATGTACTTCCATTTAAACATATGAAATAGGTACGTATTTTAATAATTAAAGAAAAAAGTTATCAATACAAGATGAATTATAAAAAACACAACACATCGTAATGAACATAATTTCGATAAAAACGAATCTAAAAAAATAAAAATCTATTACCAAGACATTCGCTTTGGTTAATTTCTTCAATTCCCGACCTCGAACTTCGATTGTCATCATAAACTATTTTAATTTTCTCACTGTTGTTGATTTATTTTTTATTGCGTTTATTCATATTAGCTTGATCCATACCGAAAAATTTTACTACCGTGTTTTCTATGTGAATTAAAAACTGATAAAACAATGAACATGGAAAATCAAGATTAAAAAAAATAAAAATATTAATATTATAAATGCATATTTTTTGGGATTTGATGATTTGTAACTCCCCATTAATTGTTTGAGAGTTGCATATCAAATTAATTTACTGAAATACCCTTGTAATTAAAATGTGAACATGACATAAACCAAGAAGAATGAAATTTGATTGGTTGACATGGTTTTCAAAGTTAATACAAAATTGTTGGTTAACATTTGATCTTCCCCCTATATATATATATATATATATATATATATATATTGTTGTATATATATATAGAGAGAGAGACTTGAGATCATGTGAGACCAATGGTTTTTCGTGAGACCCGTAAGACCAATTATCAACCATTGGATTAGATCTATATATATATAGGTTAAAGAATAAATATATTGGTCAAAAATACTCCTACAAGTTTAAAGTTTGATGATAAATTTTAACTATTAGATCATTAGCTTATAAAGTTGATCAATAAACATAAATTGGTCTTATGGGTCTCACGAAAAACCTTTGGTCTCACGTGAACCCAACCATATATATATATATATATATATAGATTTGGGATCACGTGAGACCAGCTTGTTTTCGTGAGACCCGTGAGACTAGCTTTTTACACTTGAAACTTCACAGCAAAATCCTGTGAAGGTAACCTTCACAGTGTTTTTGCTGTGAAGGTTCGACTTTTTTAAACCTTCACAGTGTTTTTGCTGTGAAATTTCAAGTGTAAAAATGTGTTCTCACGGGTCTCACGAAAACAGTCTGGTCTCACGTGAACCCAACCCTATATATATATATATATATATATATATATATATTATGGGAAAGTTTAAAGAAGAAGTTGATCAATTTACGAGAACGCGAGAAACAATATAAACCACATGAATTACTAAAAGATTATCAATAAATAAAAAATAACTTTAAAAATTAAGACAATTACCATTTTGAATTGGATAAATCTTTAAAATTCTCATATCTTTCAGATTTATTTATTTTTTAATTTTAATTAATTCATAAATTTTTTATCAAGTTTTATATAATTTTTTTCTAGATACATCTTTTATATAAAAAAGAAGAAGATCACAGGTGATATCCACAATCAATTAATTATATATTCATCATTTTATCTCTATTTTTTGGATCCACGTTTTGAATTACATGTGATTAGTTTCGTTTAACATATGATCTACTGTGTGAATTCTTGTACATATCATATATGATAATGTGTTTGAATACAAGTGACATATTATCACATGTGATAATATTAACATCACAAAAAGATTTGAATATGTAAATATAGATGATCACATATGATTAACAAAAAATTATACAATTATCACAACGATACGATCATCGTTGTGATGAAATCAGTTTATTAAGGATTATTAAAAATTGGTTTGGAAAACAAATTCAATCCTAATTTGTTAAGAATTATCACTACGTTACAGATATTGCTACCTTTTTTATTTTAATTTAATAATGATTTATTTTATCTATTTATTAAATAAGGTAGTTGACCACATATTATTTTTCGTCTTCTCGTAAATTAGTCTAGTTCTCGCATGATTCTCCTTCTCTCTCTCTCTCTATACATATATATATAGAGAGAGAGAGATGAACAATCAAATGCAAACCATGCATATTTGTACAAATCGTGCACACCACCCTTATCCGTCGATTTTATTGTTCAATTTAATGATTGTTTCATGAAATTTTTCAATATTATGAAATTGTTTCATATAATACTTTTCTAGATGAAGTTGTTTCATATATGGTTATGAAATTGTTTCATATAATAGTTATGAAATTTTAATGAAATTGTTTTATGTATTTCTTTAAAATTAATATAATGAAGATGATAATATTCATGATTAACACCCTCCACAATAAAAAAAATTAATCAACTTCTTATAATTACAAAAAAATGAAAAAAAAAATGAAAAATTATGATTAATAGAGTGAGGTTTGTACGGTTTGTACAAAAAACATAGTTTGCCAAATAACTTTCTCTACATACATACATACATACCATTTAAATACAATAAACCATGCAGACAACATCTTAGTCGTTCATCTAGTGATCTAATAAATTTAGAATTTCATTTTATTTCCTGATCTAAAGTCATGATTATAATGAATGAACTTTGTCATCTTTCATATATATATCTCAATCATAATTAATAAAATCATGATTATTGTTCATAAATATCTCAATTATTTTATAATATAAACATTGATTATGGTTTGTATTTGAAACCAGCTTTATATATATGGGGTTAGGTTCAAATAAAAATCATTTTTAATGGTATACTAAGAGACAAATCCTGACTATTAATCAAAGTAATAAAACTAATCAATGGTTAAAATATAAAATTATTAATTAAAAAGTGATTATGGGTAAAAATAAGCTAATTTCAGACTTTAATTACACGGCCTACCATAAAGATGGAGGACCAAAATTTGTCCCTTGATTTACAATTAAAAAATAGTTTTTATTTGAATTTATATATCATATATATATATATATATATATATGAATGTATGTATATATGTATGTGCATATATATATATATATATATATGTATGTATATATATATATATATTATGCGAAAAAGTTACAGAAAATGATATTTCTTAACCCATATACACACACTTGGGGGCTGGTTCTTTTATATTTGTTATAAACCGAGGAACCACCCATAGCGCAACACTTGGCATATTCATCATGAATTTGTTATTTATAATGAATAACGTTTTCATATTCATTATAAATGTGTGATTCATAATAAATAACATTTTCATATTCATCATAAATGTGTTATTCATAATGAATATTCATCCTAAATAGGGACACGTGTCGTGTTGTGGACGGTTCCCAAGTTCGTAATAGATTTTAGGTTCCTAATGAAACTTTCCTCTACATAAATACACGTAATTATATAAAGTCAAATATTTCCTCTAAACATTTTCATATTAAATAAAAATCAAGACGAGATCGAAAAAAAAAATACCCCAAAGTATAATTTACCGAGTACCTGTTTTGTTACTAGCCATCTTAATTGATAAAATATAATATAGATAAGAGTTTTATAACATAAATAATTATCTACTTTGTTACCCATTATTTTAAATGAATAAAATAACATAATAACTCTTCCTAACTATACCTTAGACTTAGAGCTCTACAATTTATCCCTTAAAAGAAGTGTTAGGGGTTGTTTGTTTACCTCATAATAGTTTCATTAAGAGACATACTTTGAATCGTTGAGAGGTGAATCTTGTTTGACAAAAAAAGAGTCTACCTCTTAATGGTTCCAAAATCCTCTGAATGATTTTGCATCCAAGGACTCCCTTAACCATTCAGGGCTCTAATTTCATTGTAAACAATTACCAAACAATTATATTTCATTTTGCACTATATCATAAGAGTCTCTCAATCATCATGCACCAAACCATCTAACAACTACCAAACAACCCCTTGTATTAATTAAAAATGTCCTTCTCAACCATTCTCTCTCTCTCTATATATATATTATATATATATATATATGTTTGAGAACAAAACATATCCACATCTTTAAGGAGAGAAGATTTTGTGATAACCATCAAACAAAGAGTTTAAAGGTGACATGAATTCCAAAAAGCAAAACCAAGAAATCCAATAACACAAGACACATAAACCAACAAAGACCATTCCTTCTTTTCCCTTTTTTGACTGCCCACTTCTTTTTCCTTTTCTTTTTCATCACATGGTTTTCCACTTGTTCCGATCAAATATCAGATATCACGATTACCATTTACCAGTAACCCCCTCCTACCAACCTAACCCCGTACCCACTAAACCCTTCAAAATTAAACCACAATCATCCGATTCAAAAGATTTACATGTTCTTTCTGGTTGTGTTTCACATCCCGTTGTTTCTTTCTGCAGCCACTGCAAGCAGCCTACAAACCCCTTGAGTCCATATATCATATTCCCTTTGATTCCTGCATTCGAATTCGACCACCCCACGCGCCACCGTCTTCAGCCCGAAGTAGCGGCGGTCGTGGCCGCCTTGCACCAGGTGCCGCCCCGGCCACGCTGACATGTCTTTCAAAACCTCCAACACGACATCTGTGAAAAAAGCATTGTCAAAAGAATGGGAACTTGACTTTAATCTTTAATGCTTTAACAAATCCCCAAAAGACCCACCACATCACTGGCATTGGGGGTATCAAACTTACTCTTCTTCTTTTTTGTGATGGTCCCAGCTACATGTCTGCTCTTCATCTTCAGGATCACCTGATCCATATACACAAATAAGGACTTGAGTTTTTTACTTTTTCAGTGTTTAAAGAAAGACCAAACAGTATGAGGATTTTTGTGAATTATTTCAGATTGTTTTTGGTGAATCTAAGCAAATTTAGGGTTTATTATCGGTTTAGTGGGTTCAAAAGTTCTACTAACCTGGTCCATTTTGTTGATATAAACGGACACGATTTTCAAGTGAAGATCACCTGCAAGAAAAATAGGAGTTGTATTAAATATTGTTCGAAAAGGATGATGTGAAAATAAGTGGAATCCTATTTACATTACGTTTCAAAAGAACCCTTGTGAAGGGAGCGGGTGTTCCAACATATAATGAGAGAAAGTGAGACCCTATACGTCGGCTCCAATGGAGGCTAGACGGGCACGAATGTACCATCTACCTTGGCACTTGCTTTGATACCATGTTCGAATAAGTTTGAATTCCTCTCTGAACAGAGCTCTTATAGACCGAGAGGAGTTCCTACTTAAATACGGATTTGATGGTTCGTATCTAGCTGATGTGGGACTTTTTGATCGAGTAAAAAACGAACCTTTACGGGTGCGTTTGAGGAGCTCGCAACCTCGGGCAAGTAGTTCTCGACTACATATGCCGAGAAAATTCTCTTCGGGTACAAACTCGTCACTAAAACTACCATTTGAACTGCTGCCGGTGCCATTGCAATGAGCCGCCCCTTTTTCCGCTCGGGGTACTGCCGGTATATTACGCGTATCCTTTGGTGCCCTTGCTTTCAATGTCGCCGCACCACGAAGTGCTTTATAATATATACAATACATTAAGACATTAAATTATATGGTACAAGAAAACCCTGATCTAATTTATAACCATTGGTGTTCAGACCAATTTGTATGCACCTTGAACCGATCCAATGAATCCTTGAGGCTAGCATGGGAAAAAATCCAATGGCCCCAGAGACTCGAGCTGGTGACCAATGGGGAGCAAACCCAAGGTCTGATCAGTTGTGCTACCAAGCTTGCTTGCGAGAATAAAGAGGATCTCAACTTACCAGTAGCAGCAGCAGCCGTTAATGTCATGATATCACCGGGTGACCGGACGTTAACAGCAGAGCTAACAACCGAGGCCAGATGATCACGTTCTGCACCCATCGCCTCTGCCGCTTCCACACACTGTGCCGCCACCAGGGTAGCGGCAGATGCTACCGCCAAGTCTGTTTTCACCATCTCCTCATCCTTTCTATGTCCCGACGAGGCGGCAGTGGCGGCTGCAATCGCTGCAACCACCGCAGCAACACCAGCAACCGAAACAGTTGCATGTAACTGGGCATTATGAACTCTAGTCTCCTCTTTCTTTTTCTCTCTTCTATCCTTCAACCACCGCCCCACCGTTTTCCCACCACCACCGGTGGGTGCCGCACTGGTGGCTCCGCCTCTATACTGCTGGTTCACCGGATTCTTCATACGAAAGAACTGCTTAAAACAAACACCATCATCAAACTCGAAGAATTATAATTAACACTTAATTCATTGAATTACTTGTGATTTTACAGTTACGTTGTTTTCGTGTTATTCTTTTTCCTGATTGAAAGTGGGATGTTGTACTTGTTAAATTCAGGTAATTGGACCATATTAGGTACTATTATGATACAACATTGATGAGGATCCACAATTCTAGATATCAAATACAACCATACCTACCTTCTGGTTCTACATTAATGTTCCCATTTTTGGAGGGCACTTGGCCACAACCCCATTATGAGAATCACCACATCAACTCAATAACTTAATTATCAAGTATTAACATCATTTAAGTGTTACTCGAAGCCCGGTTCAACCGATAAATAAAGGTTAAATATCAAAGTTGGCCACAACCCTATAATACCCATCAACTATAACATTGAAATCACTAAAGTCCCGTTTCGTTTGTAGGATAGGAATGGATTTTGAGGGATTTGGAATTGAATATCAATCCAACCCCATGTTTGGTTTGATCTAGAGATATGTAAAAAGCAGGTTCGATTACGTTTGAAATCCCACGAACATAGGATTTTGAGATCCATGGTATTTCATAGGATTTGTCTATAGTATTGTTTTAAAATATGTTTAAAACATTTGTTTTGTAAAAATCAATTAATAAAAAAATAATTTAATAATTATTTATAATTTATTTTTATAAATTATAGGATTCCAAATTAAACATATCAAATATTTCAAATTTTTCTATAAAATCCAAATAAGAGGGCAAATTAAAAGGAACTCATTCCCATTCCATATTTCATTCCTATTTCTTTATTCATTCCCATTCCCATTCCCGGAAACCAAACTAAGCACAATGATGAGTTTAGTATGTTCAAATTCAACGAATCCAACATTAAATAGTTTTTTATTTTATTTTGGCATGTAGTCATTATTAATTATACTAGTTTATGGATTGGAGCGAAAGCTGCAACATGGTTTGCTACTGAGAGTTGTGTTTTGTGAAACAAGAACACAGGCATCAGAAGAAGACTCAAATCACCCGCAACCATGTCAGCCTCCCTGCCGGAAATATAGCTGAACATGGATCATAGACCACAGTCAACCCCACATAACAATAGCCTATAATCTCAGTCGTCATATAAATACACAAGAAGCAGACAGAATGACAGATGTTAAAACAAACCAACATGGCCTCATATCTCCGGTGACTATATCAGGTCCGCTGCCGGAAAAAAATGGCTATTCATGGATCATGATCCACAGTAACCGGCAGCTAGCTAGCTCAAAAATGGAGAATAACAAATAATACGTTGTGGGATTTGTGTTTAATGTCAGTATTCATAGGAAACCAAAGAGAGAAAGAACCTTGGTATCGTCGATTTCAGAAGGGGAAACAGGGGGACTGTCGGTTAGGGAACCATTGAGAGGGCCACTACTGTGGGAGAGTCTACCGGACGTCCGTGGCGATACCTCCTGCTGTTTAATCATCGATTTTAATTTTCAGCACAAAATATTTATAAAACAAATTCTAAACCATTTTTGGAGGAAAATTAAAATCCCACTTACAGATTGTGCCAATATACGTTCCATGATCAGCTGTGAGGTTACAGTTGACGCAAATGCAAAAGGGCTGGCAGCAATATCTTCCAAAGATTCGGCGGTTATTTCGTCTCCGGCGGAATGCGGTGGAGCAAGAGCTTTAGAAACTTCAAGAGCAGAAATGCTCCAAGATCGAGACAGAAACTCCATAGGCTCGTTTGGGGTCTCCGGTGGCCGGAAAATAACATGACCTAGGGCGGAGTCCATTGGTGGTATGGGGAGTGGTGAACAAAAGAATGAAGTAATGATGAAGAAATAAGAGGAGGGGGGGGGGAGTGGGGTACGATGAACGACGGTGGTTCCCTTTGTCTCTCTTTTCTTCACACGTACGACGGTGCTTTATAAGTGTTTGAGAAGGGTCTTCTCCACGCGTGTACCCACAAAACCTTGGTTTCCATTAAATTCATGCTCCACCTTCCTTTTTTATTCTTCCCTTTACTTTAACATTTAAACGGAATTTTTGTAATAAACTCAAAAATATAGAGTATATACTACTAGGGGTGTATGTGGATTAGGGGGTCGGGTTTAGAGTATTTTTATAACTTAACTCATTATGACCTAAACCTTACAAATTCAAATATATAACCTAACCTTTGTGGGTTGACGGGTTAGTGGTTATAAACATTTGATGAATAAAAATATCTTATATAACTTAAGTTTATAGGACCAAACTATAAAGCGTATTAATTAAAAGGATTACAATAGGTTTATAAGACATTTTTTGATGTTTCAACTTTCAACAAGTTTTTTAGAACATTTTTTTAAACCTCCTTTCTCTCTTTATATATATACATACTTCCTCCTCTCAAGCTCTGTCGTCAACCCCCACCTCCCACATCGTTTTCGCCCATTCGAAGGGATACAGGGGCCAACTCTCGTTTTCCACCCCTGTAAACCTTTGATGATCATCATTCCCAACCCCTTTCACCTGTCTAATTCTCTATTTCCCTCCGCAAACGTGTGTATACCAAGAAAGAACCCAGGGACTATATCTATAGACACCATAGGGACGATGACCAAGAACTGGAAGAAACACATTCTCTTAATGTCGAACTCCTATCTTCGGCAAAAAAACACACATGGACCAAAATGCGATGATCTTTCCCTCTCCTCTCCTCTCATCAACCATTATAACAAATGGGGAGTCACAAAGACCAAATCAAACCTATGGAAGCCGATTAAATCAAAGGGACCAAATCAAACCTTTGGAAGCCAATTAAATCACATTCTCGATTTTGATTTGGTTCAGTAGTTTGGTTCACATCGGCAACTGGTGTGGTGGGGAGGAGAAGGGGATAGAGAGTTTGGGGGACAAAGTGTGGAGTTTTGGCAGAGTTTTGAAGTGGTCATCTGAGTTTTAAAAGGGTCGCCAGTTTTTGATTTGGTTCTGTCATCGTCCATGTGTAAACCTCGTCTATGTGGTGTATATATACACAGACGTATATATATGTTAGATCGGAGATGGAAGGCCGAATGGCTTGGGGATTGATAGTTCCTGTGTTTTATATATATATATATATATATATATATATATATATATATATATGAGCCTAATCAAATGAGAACTGTTTTGTTTGTGTTAACCGTGAGATCTTATCTCAACCACAAATCAAAGGTTAAATTAGGAAATTAATAATCATGGGTATTTTAGGGATTTTATAAATATCATCTCTCATCTCTCCTCTTTCCTCTCTCTGGCGAATCTTATTCGACGAACTTTATTTCGATAAACATTATGTGAACACAAGATACATACTATGATACCCAGATATACATACTAGATGCACAATGTGATACCCTTTGTAAAACAATGAAAATAACGAAAATGCACACTATGATACATTTCATAAAACAAAGAAAATATATTGTGATACACGTGAAACATTGTGAACGTTATTACTATGATACACTTTGATTCACAAACGTCTTTAAAATACGATGTATATTATGTAATTGATATACTAGGTAATTAATTTTAATTAAATATTTTTTTCTAAAAAATTAATTAAATATTTTGATTGGTTGTCAAAAATAGAATTACTATATACCCTTTTAGCTTATTTAAGAAATATTCTTTAATATCTCAAACGAGTGGTTCACATTGGATTTCACGGTTACCACAAATTAATCAGTTCTCCCTTGAAAGAGCCCATATATATATATATATATATATATATATATCATAGTTCATTACATAATTGATCCTTAGAGTTTGATTATATTTATAAAAATAATAAAAAGTAAAAAAGAATTACAAAAATAGTGGGAAAACATGGTTGGACGAAAATACCCCTGGCTTTTATGGACATTTTTTACTGGGTTAGTACCAAGTCCCACTTTCAAGGCAAAATTCAAACCTGAAGGATGACATCTTGACTTATTGAAGTTCATGTCCTACATTAAAAAAAAAACACTAAACCTTAAGGACCAAAAGTAAAATTTACTCTTTTTTAAATAAAGAATACTATGAGATATTTTATAGAATAATTTGAGAAACGCCATGTAGATGAGGGGCCGTTTACAAACGCTTACCCGGTTAAGTGTTTACCAACAAAATTCAACACTATCAATTACTTATCAGGTAAGATTTTAGTCCACCAAAACGATATCATATGCAACAATTTACGCGGTAAGTCCTACCATGGTAAGAGTCGTCGTCCTCACTTACTGTATAAGACTATCGGTTCTAGACTTCACTTTTACCAGGTAAGATTCTTGGTCCTTGTCATATTTATTCGATAAGGTAATGTGACTTGATAAGGCTTACCCGAGTAAGCGTTTGGTAAATGACCCTTCATTTATTTACAGGACACTTTTGTTAAGATGACACTTTTTAAATAGTGTCATATAAAATAACTAATACGACACTTTATTTTTAAAGCGCACTAAAAACTTAAATTAACATTTTTTTGTTTCATTCTATAAAGTATCATGTTAGGATGTTCGGACATTTTAGGCGTCCTATAAGCCTAATGTGTCATAGCGAAATGTTATAACTATTGGCATTTTCTTTCCATCAAAATACGACATGAAATGAGGAAGTTTTTGGATTGATATATTCATCAACCAAATATCTATTAATATCATTCATATTCTCGGACACATCCATATTGTTGCAAAAACGATGCCAATGATTTTCTCCTATTAGATTATTTGTCGTCATTTTTTGGTGGAGAATCTCTTATGGTGACCTATACTTATAGCTAAACAAAATACAAACATAAACACAATAAACATTATATAAATATAAATATATATATATATATATATACACACACACTAATCTTGTATATCATATATAGATATAATTTTTTCTTATCAAAATTATATATATTAGCGGCAGGTTGGGTTGAGTTAGGCTAACCCAATTTCAACCCCCTTGATTGGCAGTTTAGCGGTTTAGCAGGATGGGTTTAAGGTTGGGTGGGTTGAGCGGTTTGACGCTTTTTTGTACACCGCAATAAATTATATTTTTCATCTTTGTGGTCCGTTGTAAATTGCTATTTTTGTCCTTATGTTTTCAAAATATAGTTTTCGACCTCATGGTTTATAGTTCATTGCTTTTGGTCCCTATGATTTATAATTTGTTGTTTTTCCCGTATTTATGGTTTACAATTTATTGTTATTTTTGTCTCTCATACTTAATTATATTGAATTGCCTCATGGATGAAAATAACAAAGAATTACAAAGATGAAATTCACAGTTCTAAAAAAACCATAGGGACGAAAATCGTAGCTTACTCCAAAAAAATAAGTTGGTTTACGGTAGTTAAACATGATCTTAGTTGTAAAATAAAGTTTAAAATGTACAAAAATATAATTAAGTTTCTTTTAGTTTTATTTTATATAATGTTAATTTTTTCTTGATTAGTTCAATAACTGTTTGATTATTTCTATTTTGTATCACTGTGACTGATAACTAGTAGAATAGTAGATCTTGTAACCATTAATGATATGAAAGTCAAGTTATTGAATTATACTGTAATTACTGATTACGTAAAAAATGTCATATCAAAATCAACCGATGATATGTAAACTGAAAGAATTGAACTTATGGTGTACCAATTTAGAGATATTGTTGAATAGGACCAAGACAAACTTTGTTATATTTTGGTTCATTTTATGCTTAAATATAAACAAGATAAATTAAGTTTTTCATCCCTATGGTTTGTTAAAAGTTACAATTTTTGTCCTGTGGTTTAGAAATTGTGGTTTTCGTCCCTATGGTTTATAATTCATAGTTATCTTTGTCTTTATGAATTACAATGTATTGTTGTTTCAGTCCCTGGTTTAAAATTCTTTATTGTTTTGGTCTCTTGTGCTTAAAGATAGGAATTAGTCAAGGGATGAAAATAGCAATAAATTGTAAAATATAAGGACTAAAATTGAGATTTCTAAACCATGTTAGACGAAAATTGTAATTATAAACAAAGCATAGGGAGGAAAATCATAATTTACTCTATACAATAATAATATATTTTAACTCAATTCCTATTTCAATTTTTTTTCTTAATTTTGTGACAACATAAAATCTAAAAACGCCAAATAGTGACAACTTGTTTTTCTTGATTCTTATTTCAATCAGTTTTTTCTATGATATATAATAACTTACTTTTGATACTGTTTTTTTCCTTCATATTTTGGCAATATATGTAAAAAGTAGTAACCGACATTTCATTTCATTAAAAAAAGGAAATTTGAGTTTCTATATTCAATAAGGCCCCTCTATATCACATGGGGGATTTGACTTGTCCAATACAATCATATATGATTGAGCTTGGAATGTACACCACAAACCCAACGTAGTCGACCTCATACATGCCCATTTACCCATATTTAAGACCTGTGTCAATGTCACTTTAGGTCAAAACAAGTCATTTAAGTCTTAAGATTGGCTTTTGGATGGACCACGAAAAAACAAAGGGCAAAGTCATAATTGGAGTACAGAGGTTCTAACAAGCTAACAAATATGTTGATCATCTCTCTCAGTGATTTGATGATAATCTCTTTTCCCTTTCACGTTGTATTTGTGTTTCTGTATTTTCAGTTACAGCGATCCTCACTGAGTATGTTCAGTGATCGCTAAAGAACTTGCATTGTAAATTCATCAGAGACAGCAATACTTCAAGAAGACAACACTCACACCAAAGAACCTTCAGCAAACGTCGAAGACTGAAACTGAAGATTAGAGACTGA